AAAGTGATAGTCTGTAACTCTAAATGAATTAAATTTTTTAGGAAATGTGTTAAATTGACCTCCTGGCCTTAAATGTTGATACAAAATAAGTCATTTTATTCATTTTAATATTACAGTTAAGTCCCGCCTTCCCTTCTCTTAGCTATAGTTCAGATTCCACAATGCCGTCCATGTTAACCAATCGAGTCATGCCAAGGGCTGTCAATCATCAGCGCTGATGCTCGTAGCTGCACGCATGCTCAGTTGTTTGTTTTCGCGGAACCTCCGAATCAAGCCTCCATTAGGCTCTGGGACAACATGAAAACTGAACAAAGAATTCTGAACATCCGCGCTGAGGTACTTATGTATTTACTGAACCTATATCCATAATCAGATCCTCTGCACGCTGCTTCTATTGACGGAAGTAAGCGGGAGAGAAGTCTATAGGAGTTAATGCGCGGACATAGAACTCCTCGTATTATTACGCCTCACAATATAGTACCCCTTTTTATCCGCTGAGAAAATGGACATGTTACATTTCTGTGTTACTATACTTTGTAGTGTAACACGTCACGTAACTGTATTTAAATAGGGAATACGTGGAAGAGTTTGGTAGCTTCTAACGGGAGCTGATTTGGAACTATACAGTATGTGGAAGAGGCTGCGTTTGTGCTCCGTTTGCATGACAGAGCACACTGACAAAGACCAGACAGGTACATATCAACTAGTCTAAGGTAAGGTAAGAACATATGTCACTGTGGCCTATTCCTTTACAGAAGGGAGCACATCACCCCTTTGTTAGCGTTCCTCCAATGGCTCCCTGTGCGTTTGAGAAAATTATTTTAAGATTTCACTGATTACTTTTAAAGCTCGTTTAGATCTGGCACCCAGCTACAGTGCCTTGCGAAAGTATTCGGCCCCCTTGAACCTTTCAACATTTCGCCACATTTCAGGCTTCAAACATAAAGATATACAATTTTAATTTTTTGTCAAGAATCAACAACAAGTGGGACACAATCGTGAAGTGGAACGAAATGTATTAGATAATTTAAACTTTTTTAACAAATAAACTAAAAAGTGGGGCATGCAATATTATTCGGCCCCCTTGCGCTAATACTTTGTAGCGCCACCTTTTGCTGCAATTACAGCTGCAAGTCGCTTGGGGTATGTCTCTATCAGTTTTGCACATCGAGAGACTGGAATTCTTTCCCATTCTTTCTTGCAAAACAGCTCGAGCTCAGTGAGGTTGGATGGAGAGCGTTTGTGAACAGCAGTCTTCAGCTCTTTCCACAGATTCTCGATTGGATTCAGGTCTGGACTTTGACTTGGCCATTCTAACACCTGGATACGTCTATTTGTGAACCATTCCATTGTAGATTTGGCTTTAAGTTTTGGATCATTGTCCTGTTGGAAGATAAATCTCCGTCCCAGTCTCAGGTCTTTTGCAGACTCCAACAGGTTTTCTTCCAGAATGGTCCTGTATTTGGCTCCATCCATCTTCCCATCAATTTTAGCCATCTTCCCTGTCCCTGCTGAAGAAAAGCAGGCCCAAAGCATGATGCTGCCACCACCATGTTTGACAGTGGGGATGGTGTGTTCAGGGTGATGAGCTGTGTTGCTTTTACGTCAAACATATCGTTTTGCATTGTGGCCAAAAAGTTCGATTTTGGTTTCATCTGACCAGAGCACCTTCTTCCACATGTTTGGTGTGTCTCCCAGGTGGCTTGTGGCAAACTTTAAACTAGACTTTTTATGGATATCTTTGAGAAATGGCTTTCTTCCTGCCACTCTTCCATAAAGGCCAGATTTGTGCAGTGCACGACTGATTGTTGTCCTATGGACAGACTCTCCCACCTCAGCTGTAGTTATCTGCAGTTCATCCAGAGTGATCATGGGCCTCTTGTCTGCATCTCTGATCAGTCTTCTCCTTGTTTGAGATTAAAGTTTGGAGGGACGGCCGGGTCTTGGTAGATTTGCAGTGGTCTGATACTCCTTCCATTTCAATATAATTGCTTGCACAGTGCTCCTTAAGATGTTTAAAGCTTGGGAAATCTTTTTGTATCCAAATCCGGCTTTAAACTTCTCCACAACAGTATCTCGGACCTGCCTGGTGTGTTCCTTTGTCTTCATGGTTCTCTCTGCGCTTTAAACAGAACCCTGAGACTATCAAAGAGCAGGTGCATTTATACGGAGACTTGATTACACACAGGAGCATTCTATTTATCATCATCAGTCATTTAGGACAACATTGGATCATTCAAAGATCCTCACTGAACTTCTGGACTGAGTTTGCTGCACTGAAAGTAAAGGGGCCGAATAATATTGCACGCCCCACTTTTCAGTTTATTTGTTAAAAAAGTTTAAATTATCCAATACATTTTGTTCCACTTCTCGATTGGGTCCCACTTGTTGTTGATTCATGACAAAAAAATTAAATTTTATATCTTTATGTTTGAAGCCTGAAATGTGGCTAAATGTTGAAAGGTTCAAGGGGGCCGAATACTTTCGCACTGTATATTTATGAACTTTAAACCCCCTACGAGCCCTTCCCCGCAGCCTTAGATCCTCGGGCAGGTCCCTGTGACTGTTCCAAGGTCGAGGCTCTGGACGAAGGGAGACCGAGACTTCTCAATCCGGGCTCTTCGACTTTGGAACGACGGAGATAAGGCCAGCACCATCAGTATCCTCTTTCAAATCACTTCTTAAAACCTGCTTTTATCGAACAGCTTCAACTGTTAGTTTCAAAACTTCAAATTGTATTTTATTGTTCCCCTTTGTTGTTGTTTTGTCTTTCTTCTTGTGCTTCCTCTGTCTGCTTCCTCTGTCTTCCTGTATCTACGGTTTATTACTTTGACTTTGTATTATTATGATTATTTTGCTGACTGTGCAGCGCTTTGTAAACATTGTTTGTGAAAAATATTGTTATTATTACTATATGCACTGAACAAGAAATGTAAACGTAGCACTCTTTTTGCTCCCACTTGATATGGGTCCTTCACAGAGACATGTGAGACGTTCTCAGTCCAAATCAATCAATAAATCAAATTTATTTATGAAACACAATTCATGCACTGCCACCCAAAGTAAAAGTAAAAGACATACAAATACAGACATTTACAAACACAATAGAACATAATAGATTAAATATTAGATTAAACCGTCATAGAAAAAGAACAGCACTGAATGTCAGAATTTAAACTCCAAAAGGCAGAATTTCTATCAATGTACATTTTGTTTATCCACACCTGCACTTATGTCAGTAATTCCCAACAGTAGTTCCATCCATTATCACCCAGTGCTTATGCAGACAATGAGCCTGTTACAATAAGAATCTCTATTGTATGAGCCCATGATTGTTAAGTAGATTTGTTGCCAACTCACTGACCTGACTTGGGGTAAGTGACCAGGAATACGTCACTGTCCCTGACCTCAAACGCCTGAAGTGAGTCGAGGTACTCAGGAGTGGTCCACCCAGCGGCAAAGTTATATCCTTTGTATCGACACAACTGCTCTGAAACCTGCTCCATCTCAGAACACTATTGTCAGGACACAGCTCTGTCAGGGACCAGGACTCACAGGAACTGGACTTTGGACCTCATGTGTTCATGTTATCTCACTGTGGCTCTGTGTGAAGGACTTGACCATAAAGGACAGATCATCAGTTTCCTGTTTGGTAGTTTTTAAATAATCAACATTTCAACATAAAGAACAGGTTCATGATTAGACAAATTGCATGTGTTTGTTTCCTACAGCGGCTTCATAAACATGTTGTTATGTAACGACTGTGACGTTACATCATGTTAGGAGTTTCACAGATCAAGAAACCATGGCTTTAATAAAAACCCTATGAGCATCATCACCCTGACATTTCAGTAAGTGTCGCAGACGTAGGTAGACTGAAACCCCTGAAATACACATTGGTGTTCCAAATAATACAGCATATTTAAGCCATCCCTCCACAGGCATGTTTAGAACCCGTGATTTTATAATGAATGTAACTACAGTTACAGTAGCACAGTGTAGTACAGTGACTCCAACCTTTTGGGACTTTAATTCTTTATCGATTTCATTTTTGGGGACCTTTGTAACCCAGCAAAGATTGAGAAGTGAGTCATGCGAAAGACCCAGTGACTTTTGGGACATTTTTACAAACCAATCTATAATGACAACATCAAAAACCACAGTGCAAGGAATGAGGACAGCTGCAGCAGATACCAAAGGAGATACCAAAGCAGATACCAAAGCACACCACTTTATTCGCTTCTATCTTCTGCTTTACAACCCTCAGACTGACGTTAGGCAGAGCCCGGAGCAGAGCATCTCGCTGAAGGGCAGGCAGCTCCTTCTCCAAAGTTTCCCATAAATCATTGAACTCGTAAAGGTGCAACTTGAAGCTGGAGATCAGGAACACTTTTGGAGACATCCCCAGCTTCTGAAGCTCTGCGAGTTCAAACAGGACATTAGCAAAAGGTACACTTTAATCATCTAAAACTTCTACCTTTAGTGCAGTCGTTTCTGATTCGTTGAAGTGTTTTTTCTTCAGTAAAATCTCTCTGGCTCCGTTTTTGATCTCGGATGCTGTTGTCAATCTTGGATCGAACAAAGTAGAATTTCTTTCCCATCTTATTTATTTCTTGAGCCAGTTTTGCATCATTATCTTTGAAACGTTCACTGGAGATAATGATGAAGAAGTCAAACTTCTCAAACTCTTCTGCTGTAAACTTGGTTGTGCCAACACCAGGGAGGTCCCATAGTTTAATATGGCAGTTTTTTGGGAGGCTGTACTCAGTTGGCTCCATAGTTGTTTCCACGACACCCGTGGGAGCAGCTTCCTCGTCTTTGTTGTCTATTCCTCTGAGAGCGTTGACAAAGGTGGACTTACCAGAGACAGACTCTCCAGTGATTGCAATGACTAAAGGAATGTTCTGTAGATCATCCAAATACTCCTTTACCCTTTCAGCAGCTTCACCTTGATCATTGCCCTGTAGGGCCTCTGTAAGCCGCTTCTGGCGATTGTCCATGATCACTGAAAAGTAAACAGAAATATGAATTGGTAAAGTCCCAATTTGTAATCTGACTTATCTCTTTGTCACTGCTGTCTGTCCACATGTAGCTGATGATCTGAAATCAACAAATATTAGTGTCTGTACAGGGACTATTATGGCCATATCAACATTAATACTTGGATAAGACTGGGGCGGTGGGAAACCGTAGCAGATAATTTTTGTGTTGATCTCACATGATGACATCACCTGAATTATGAATTTTACAGCAGGATCATGGCTCCTCCGCTATCACATGTGTCTTGAAGAAATTATATCAATACAGTCACCAGTTAATTTTCCATAAATCTCTTTTTGAAGAATAAGTCTATGCTAAATATCACTGGGTTGCAATCACGTGGTCCGAAGGGCCGTGTCAGGGGGGGCGCAGGACACAAAGTGTATTTGTCCTGTTAGATGGACAGGGCGATGCGGGAAAACGGACACATACTGTAGGAGCTTTTTGCGGTTTGGTGTGACTCTTATTTTGAGTCAAAACTATTTTCAATTCAGCGTATGCCTTGCAGTTGTTATAATGATGACAGTGGAGTCACTCTGGGATAAACAGAACCACGTCCAAGATGAAATTTCTGATCAATAATAAAATAAATAGGGCAAAAATATTATTTTTAACAACATTTGAGGTGAGAAATATGACTCTTTATTGCCATTGCAGGGATTTTTTGAGCTGTAAACAAAACAAGTTTAGACTTAAGTGGAAGCTCCAAAGCAGGAAGCTAACAACGAACGCAGCCGAATATTGTGGCATGGATCTTGGATACGACTTTAGAATTAACCCTGGTCCCAAAACTCTTGAGAGGCGTGGAAATAGCGATGAACATTCACTCTTTTAACATAATGGCTATATGACTCTAGGTTCTCTGTTAGAATACTTTAGAATGTACAGCCTGCTCTTATGTAACAACACCTTGGTTTGAGACGACCTTTGGCATTTAAAGTCATTCAAAGGGGCCATCTGCACCAGGAGCAAAGAGCCACTTGGGACGACACAGGAGACGACCCTGAGGAGAGAGCGCTCTTGGACTTGGTTCTTCCAGAGGATATAGACAAGCACAAAAAGTTGTTCTCATCCCCTCATATTATTTTGGCCAATTAGGTGACTTTGGATCATTGGCACGCCAACAACATCTCACAGTACACTAATGTACCACAACACACTGGTTGAATATCACTGCAATCGACGGTAGAGCACCAGGAAGAGCTACGCGCGCTCTGATTGGTTGATTACCGTTCTGATATTTTCCCATCTCGGACTGTTACCATGACAATTGGTCCGAACAGCGCGTATCACATTTGATATCTTTCCTCGGACCGTTACCATGACAATCTGTCCGCAGCGCGTATCACACAAAACCAAGTCGGACATGAACATACTTCACAAATATCTCAAAAGCATTGGTAAAGACACAGACGAGAGTCATATAATAAAACATTTATTAACCTCGCTTGCTCGGTCTGTACAGAGAAATATCAGACCTTGGCCTTTTTGCACAGACCTCGCCACGGCTCGGTCTGTACATTAAGGCCGCGGTCTGATATTTCTCCATACAGACCTCGCGCTCGGTTAATATCAAGAACCATGTTACTTGCACCAAATATCATCACAGAAACAGGTACACTTGAATTATAGTATGTTGACTACTTTACAGAAGGTATTTTAAACTATAACAATTGACTCCTATAAGACAGTTTTAGACATGAGATCTATGGACATTAGATATTGTGTCTTGTTATTGGCTGTCTATTGGCTATCTAGAATATCTGTTTTATGTGTGTGCAACAAGTAGAGATACATTGTAATGCAACTTCATGAGTAAAGTTAATAAATATAAGAAATAGTAATACCAACTATTATAATCTTGCTTGTTAGTTTAAAGATGAGATATTACCTTTGTTGCAGGATGTGCTCAGATGACCCAAGGTTTATAAAAGGCAAGTTAATTTGAACACAATTCATTCACTGGGAAACTCAAAATGCAAGTGCCAAGTAAGTGCATCATCTGTTTATTCCTTTGACTAAACCACGCCTACTGGCATTGAACGCACCCTTAAACATGATGCAAACTTGAAAAAATCAGCGTAACACAATAAATTATAACAATTTCAATGGGATATATTTTTCTGCACTTTTTCTGGATTATGCAGAAACCAAGTCTTTTGCATGATGTCATCCTCTTGAAGTGTATAATGTGTATTTGTTTGACCGCCCTTTACCTCAAATCTGTAATGCTTTACTGACTGATGTACAAATATACATCAAAAGTGCGCACAGCAAGTTAGTGACATTTATATTAACAAAATTCAATATTTTCAGATTTGTCTTGCAAAGAACTTTAGAATACCTTGGACTTGTGCTGTACAAAAAGACTGCTTTAGATGATATGGGACTAACCTGTAATATTGGAACAAGGCCTACCATTCTATTGTATAACACAGTGTCCTGCCACTCCCTTGTCTTAAAAACATTGCTCTGCATACTTTCACTTTGGTCATTCATTGTCTTTCTTTTGACCGCAAAAGGCGATGGCTCCTAGATTCTCACATAACCGGTTTTTATTCAGGACCGCATTTTTCAGAGACAACAAGACGATAGCTACAACATTTAAATGGATGGATGACTATGTTTCTGCCTGTAAGCACATTTTCTCATCATAACCCTCTCAATGTTGGTACCTTGCAGACATTGGTTTCATGTTTCAGAATTGTTAGAGGTTCCCACTCTGTCCTCTGGTTCTCCTCTTCTTCTCTTTATCCTGTAAAATGGTCCTGACGAGGCTCTTAATGATTGTTACCCAATGTTCTTCTCCTAAGCCCTGTTTCTACCAGTCCTACTTGGTCCACCAAGCCCACCCACGAGACTTCACGACTCCCAATGATGTCTGCTGTCAGTGTGTCCTTGGGCAAGACACTTAACCCCACTTTTCCTGAAGCCCCTGCTGAAAGATCAAGGCTATGCTCTCAATGACAGAGCGACCGTCCTTCTGTGGACTCACCACCTGCAGGAGGATCAGTGAGGGGCTGGTGCTCTGTGAACTGGGTGCAGCTCTGACTGCCACCCCCCTGACCCAGAAATGGATTAAGGGGAAGAAAATGGATGATGGACACACTACTCTATCTACCCTACTTGCTGTGTTTCAATTATTGTTTAGTATCTGGCACCGTATCCAAGCAATGTACCCACTACAGCTACTTGTTGAAAAAGTAGCTACCGCTGCTGCTACTTGTGATGTTATTTTTTAGGACCCTCTCGAAATTGAGATGTATCTCAAGGGGCAATTCTTCGTAATAAAGATATGTCAAAGAACAAACCAGTATCTGGGGAAATTCCTTTGTAACCATGGGTTCCAGCTGTACTCTGGCCAATCACCCTCGGCCTGGATAAAACTGCTATGGTGATTTTGAACTATGCAAGTATTAATAATGATAATGCATTGGTTTCATTCATCCCTTTTTAGGATACTTAAAGACTTTTCAGACGTCATTAATCATTTACTCCAAACACAGTGGATACAGTTTTTCTCAGTCTTTGGTGCATTTCTCACATCAGACTTTCGACATTCGGGACCTTGCGTGTGACGGGTCACTCGTACTACCCAAACTGAGGTGCACAAACTTCCTCGAGTGTCCCACTCGAGAGGCCCGAGAAGCACGGCAGGCGGGCCGCGGCGGTGGCCGCCAACAGAGCGAGGAGACCGGGCGTCTCCGGCGTTCTCTCCGCGGTGTGGAGCTGGGCACCTCGAGTCGGGCGAGGCGGTCTGCTCGTTCGAAGCCGCTCCTCCAGGACCGCTCTGCCCTCCATCTACCTGGCCAACGTCCAGTCTCTGCCCAACAAGACGGACGAGCTCCTGTGTCGGGTCCAGAGCCAGCGCGAGGCCCGGGACTGCGCTGTGTTCTGCCTCAGCGAGACGTGGCTCCACTCGAACGTCCCGGACTCTGCTGTTCACCCCCCGGGATTCACCGCTCACCGCACGGACAGAGTGAAGGAGACCACGGGCAAGGCCAGAGGCGGAGGTGTGTGCTTTTTAATTAATCAGCGCTGGTGCACGGACACTCGAAAAGTGAACCAAACATGTACTGCCAATCTGGAATGCCTGGTCTTGAGCTGCCGCCTTTTTTATCTTCCCCGTGAGTTTTCAGTGATATTTTTATGTGCTGTATACATTCACCCACGTGCGGATTACAAAGTAGCCCTACAGGATCTGAGCGAGATCCTTCACAAACATGAGTCTGCTCATCCTAACGCAGTCATCATTGTTGCTTGGGATTTCAATAAATGTAATTTAAAGACTGTACTCCCGAACTTTTACCAACATGTGACTCGAGCTACAAGAGGAGCACATGTTCTGGATCACTGCTACAGTAACGTGAAGGGAGCTTACAGGTCCAGTCTCAGACCTCCTTTTGGAAAGTCTGACCACTCCTCTGTTCTCCTTCTTCCTTCGTTAACTCAGAGGAGCAGGGAACATAAACCAACCTCTCGCACTGTGCAGTGTTGGTCTGAGGAGGCTAGCATGAAGCTACAAGGTTGTTTTGATGCTACGGACTGGTCTGTGTTTCAGTCAGAGGACGTCAATGAATTCTGTGACTCTGTGTCTGGATACATACGCTTCTGTATTGACTGCCGTGTCCCACAGAAGGTCATTAAAGAACATTTTAGTCAAAACCCTTGGATGAACGCGGAAGTGAAACTGATACTTCATGAGCGTGCGTTGGCGTTTCAATCAAATGATACAGTTGCTTATAAGCTATCCTGTTACGCATTGAAACGTTCTATTAAATCTGCAAAGCGCAGTTACGGGGACAGGTTAAAGAGTTATTTTGAGGAAGATGACCCTCGGCGCATGTGGAAAGGTATTAAAGCCATCACATCGTGGAAACCTAGTGCTGGGAAAACTGCATCTGTCGGCCAAGCTCTGCCAAACGAGCTGAACACGTTCTACTGTCGCTTTGAATCCGCT